TGCTGCAATAAACATGGGTGTGCAGGTGCCTCTGGAGTAACAGTCTTTTGGGTATATCCCCAAGAGTGGTATTGCTGGATCATATGGTAGATCGATGTCCAGCTTTTTAAGTAGCCTCCAAATTTTTTTCCAGAGTGTTGTACTAGTCTACATTCCACCAACAGTGTAAGAGGGTTCCTTTTTCCCCGCATCCTCGCCAACACCTGTTGTTGGTGGTGTTGCTGATGATGGCTATTCTAACAGGGGTGAGTGGAATCTTAGTGTGGTTTTAATTTGCATTTCCTTTATTGCTAGAGATGGTTTGTCATGACTCATGAATTACATGAGTCCCAAGTATGTATCTGCAGCCACCCACCAGAAAACAGTGAAACTGGCAGAGAGCACAGTGCTGGTTAGTACCACTCTTGAGGTGGTCACATGCACCCTTAGTGTACAGTGGCTTTAGAAATATCATGAAACTCCCACTTACACAAGGGAGTTCTGTGTACAATAAGCACAAAACAGTGAGAACACAGGAATGAAGAGTAGGAAAAGGCATAAAAATGTATATTAGAAACAAATGTGGTAAATTTTCAAAAAATAAGAAAACACTGATAAAAAATGGCACGTTACAGAATGAAAGCATCAAAGAACAAATAATAAACCATAAGTACAAAGGAAATGCAGGGGTTGATTGAAATGCATATTCAGATTATAAGCCTAATGTCAGTTCAGGAGAAGTTCTGGAATTTCTGTCAGCACAATTATTATAGTGCTGCTGCCATGGGTTTAAAAAAAATCTAAGCATTTGAATGATATCAAAAAAAAAGGAAGCAAGGAAGCAAATGCCAACAACAAAGCATGGAGGTATTGGTTAAGCACTTTCTAGGATCATCAAAATATTTCCAATGTAGTGAAACCTGACTGAATGTTATCATTTAACTTTATATCAGAAGCATTATGCTCAGAGTGTTAAATATGGTACTCTGGAATTTTTCTCCCTGACTACATATTGTTTTATTGAGTTCCTGAACCATACATAATTTAATCCATTCCCTATTAGTAAACATTTAAGATTTCAACTTAAGCTTTCAACATTGTCAACTAGTCTCTTCATTTTGACATATTGCATGGTATGTGTGTACTGTATATTGTCTATCTATGTGTCTGTGTATGCACATGTGTATGTTAAATGATTTCGTAACAGAAATATAAAATCAAAAGAAGAAGAAATTTTAGTTCACTAGTAACTTCTTTTATTTTGACATAGTCTTGATCTTCTTTTCTTACTCTATAGTCCTTTCTCTACTGTAGTAAAAAAAAAAAACAAATCCTAGGAATAAATCTATTCTCTGATCATATTTTAACTGTATATGCTGAAGTCAACAATAGATGCATCATTGCTCTGCTGGCGATGTGAAACAAAAATAACTCACCAAACCACAATAGGCTAATCCTTAGGAAGGACTCATTTACTGACCCAAATAATATCATAACCTTGGGGTCCTCAATACCCCAAAGCATTAGCTACATCTGCCTTTTAACTTTGAGGGAGTTCTAGGATTTGACATGGTGGTAAAGAAAATTCTAATCCTGTCAGAGTACAAAACTGAAATAGCTGACATTAAATATAAAAATTGCTCACATTTATATAGATAATTAAAACAGCATGTTTTTCTAAACACAGAGACTATTAACTGGACAAGGATTTAGAGTGCTTTATATTTGGAGTATTTCATAATGTATTGAAGTTTTTTGCTATCCTTTTAATGGCTGATTTCAAGATTTAGTATTCAACTTATCCAGGGCTTCCCTGATTTGGAGGAGTCCAAAAGTTATTTAGCCACAGTGATTGGAGTGAGAAGTTGGCTGCTAAGGACTTGCAAGAGGAGAGGAGTCAAAGTGGAAATATAGAAATACAGACAAATAATGAGGTACAGTGGAAGGAACCAGAGGTATGAAAGTGCAAAGAACATGTGAAGAATATGCACAGTAGAGGTAGAAGAGGTGAGTGGTAAGAAGTGGCTGAAAAGTTCCAAGAAGGAAAAGGATATCTCCAGGTAAAGCAATAGCTTCAGGAAAATCAAGGGAAGAAAAAGCATTAGAAAATATCCAGAATGGGGAATTAAAAAAAAAAAACCTACCTGAAAGGATGGAAAGAAGAATTCAGATAGGGGAACTGAGGGAAATGAAGCAAAAGAGAGAGAAGCACACACTGTATTATGAATGGCCTCAATCCCACACTAAGGAATTAAATTTATTCTGTATTGAAATAGGAGGCATCCTCACCAACCAAAGGTAAAGAAATATCCTGCAGGTTTCTAAGGTGTTTGCCCCCTCCAAATGGATTAATCCTCTCAATTCTAGTATTCCTTCCCTTTGGACACTAAACATGGACAAGAGCACAAATGTGCCAAAAATATCAACACAGCACAACAGGAGAATGGGTTATCTTCCAAATCTCAGTTTTAATTCAATTTGTATAATTATTTTAATACCAGAAAATTTTTTTAAAATAGAATTTTAATCCACGTTCCCATATTAGCTTGTACAATTCCCAAATCTTGGAGAAAATATAGTTGGAAATATTTCAGTTAAAAAAAACAATTTAGTGTATGTGAATTTAAGGTTTTTTGCAAAAAATGAATTAACATTAGTTTTTATGTAACAGTGCTCTAGTCTAATAATCATTTTTATTGTGCAATTCCCTCTTCCTCACTAACACCAACTATTATGCCTTGCTGATAAACATGGAAACTATTCTTCAAGGAAAGAAAACAAGCTGAAAGTCAGGAGATGTTTGATGATCCTGTATCTATGGGATCTACCACCAATCAGTATGATTTCTACAGTTTCAGGCCATTTATCAAAGAGCCAGAGCAGGGTCCTAAAGAGAACAACTTAGAGGTGACTCATCTCCTATCTGCACAAAAGCTCAGTCAGGTACCATTTCTCTCTATTGGGGGGTCACAGTCCAGCTTCAATAGAAAAACACTAGTTTATTAACAGGGCACATTGACCATTGTATGCAATTTCTCAGATGCACTAATACAATTACTCTCCCATAAAAGAGAAATGCAAAAGGAGCTAAGTAGTTGAGGTACAAAATCCCCAAGGGCAGTTTGTGTGATCCCAGTGAGTGCCAAACCGATTGTACATCTCAATCTAACAAGAATAATGTTCAATCAATTCTAATAGTTCAAATAACTTGGACTCAGAGGGAAAAGGGTGAGGTAACATTCAAGTGCCCAATGATATATTAAAGAATATTTTCCATTTTCATTTCAGAAGCTTGTGAAATTCTTTAGCCATCAGAAAAATTTTACAATCATCCATGTTTCAACAAAATATTTAACCTTAAACCCTTGAAACAACTTTGTTAATCTAATCGATTTATAAATTTTGCAAGCAATACAGATTGAAACCAGAACTGCTCCCCATGGAGAAGCTCCATGTGATTGCTCACATCAAAAAATACTTCCTGGGAAACAAGCACAACAGAGAAAGCAATGTGCCTTATATTTTAGTGTAGCCCAAACTAATCAGAGAAGAAATGCTGAAGGCAAGCTATGATAAACTGAAACAGATATGGTGTAAGAGCTCTTCTTTGAGATAGTAGCTTTTTCTAAATTGTTAATTAAGGTCACCTGCCTGTAAGGCTGCTGTCAAGGGAGCAACTCAATAGGGTTCAAGTTTCTTGTCTGTATTAAATACATTTACCAGACCATATCAACAATATTAGCAGATTTTTTTTCTTTTATACACTGTCTTTTGTAACATATATTTAGGTAGGAAAAAAAGACCACATAAGGGTGGTGGTACATCCTATACAACCAATCCAGGATGGAATTCGGGTTTGAATAATAAAAGTAATGCAGCATATTAGCATATATTTCCATAATTCATCATGCTGAGTTGTTCATTTTTTTGTTTTCTGAGGCAAGTCTCACAATGTACCCCATGTTGGCCTTGAACATGCCATCCTCTGCCTTACCCTTCCCAATGCTGGGATTACAGATGTGAAACATCACACCTAGCTCAACTTCTTCTTCTTCTGATTTTATTTCAGCTAGCATAAATCATTTTCCTTCTAGTGTTGATAAAATCAAAGCACAAATTTGTATAAAGTAAAAGATAATACATATGAGTATTGTCTTTTACAAATTTTTACAAAATTTATATAAAGTAAAAGATAATACATATGAGTATTGTCTTTTACAAATACATATGAGTATTTTGTTTTGCTGAAAATTGAGTTTGAACCCAGGGCCTCACACTTATTAGGCAGGTGTTATACCACTTGAGCCACACTCCTAGACCTTTTCAGCATTAGCTGTTTTTCAGGTAGGCTTCCCACATAGCTGGGATCATAAGTGAGTACCAACCACCACACCTAGCTGATTGATGGAAATGGGGTCTCTTAACTTTTTGCACAAACATCCTATGCACTTGATTCTACCTCGTAAATAACTACAATAATAGTCATGAACCACCACTCCAGGCTTGAGAACTGATTCCTAACTCCTGGAAAACCTTCTGGGAATGACAAACTTTAGGATTTACAACAAAAGACTTTTACTAATGATTCTAATAGATTATTTGAAACAAGTTTTTTCTCTCCTTTTTCTTTCTGTGGGACTGGGGTTTGAACTCAGGGTTTCAAACTTGCAAAGCAGTTGCTCTTCTGCTTCAGCCACACATCCAACCCATTTTGCTTTGGTTATTTTGGAGATGGAGTCTCTCAAACTATTTGCACAAGTCACTCTCAAACCGTGATCCTCCCAATCTCAGCCTCCCAAGTAACTAGGATTATAGACATGTAATCGAACTATGTCAAGCAAGACTTTATCCCTAAAATCCAAATCCCCTTTGCCTAAGAGTTGTTTATTACATGCGATCTCCAAATGATATCCATTTGACACAGGATCAATGTGCCTCTCTACTGAGCAACTTTTCACAACAGATTATACACAACAAATGGTATATACAAAAAAATATTCTGAAGAAGGTCACAAACTCACCTTCATCACTTGCCACCTGCTGCTTTACAACAGTCATTGGGGACCTGGATGGAGGCTTAGTAAGTGGATGGCGCCAACTCTTAGCAGTTTTGGTCTCTCCCTCTATTGTCTGGTTATAGAACAAAAATGGAAAAAGTCAAAGGATAGTTCACAATGATTTATGGTAATTATGAAAAAATCTTGTGCTTATTTACCACTTAAAAAATTGTGCTTATTTACCACTGAAAAAAATTAGACTAGTGTCAAAAAGAAGAAGAAACTGCTCTGCTGTTAATTTTTCCAAAAGGTCAATTAACTCTCCTTCAACTTCATGTTAAAATACTAACTAGCTGGCAGAGTGGCTCAAGTGGTAGAGCATCTGCCCAGCAAGCATAATGCCCTGAGTTCAAATCCCAGTGCTGCCAAAAAAAAGGGAAAACAATTAAATGAAACTTATTTAATTACTAACTGTAGTGCAGGGTACTCTTAGCAAATGAGAGCTCAGCAGTTACAGAGTTTTCAAAAGACCTTTATTTAACACTAGCCTAAATTTAATGACATCTATTCATAAACTATTAAGAACTGTGTTATTGCAACTCTCTACCCTGTGCCTATGTGAAAATATGACAGGTGATTTTGCTATCTATCCTCACAGAAAAGGAAATCTAGCCAAACTGAAGGTGTACTTTCCTTTCATTCAGAAATGAACCAGACAAGGTCTTCTGACATAGCCCAGGCAGACCTCAAACTCATGATCTTCCTGTCTCAGCCTTCCAGGTGCTAGATTACAAGCACGCACCACTCTGCCTGGCTTGAAAAATACTAGTTTTTTCAATGATACACTGCTGTCATCATGAACCATTTAAGTTGTAAATAGTGAATGTTATTTTTAAACTTATCCTAACCACCTTTTCAAACAGATCAGGACAATTTTTACATTTTTTCATTTTTTTTACATTTTTCATGTGCTTTTTATGAATGTTTTTAATATTTTTAGTAGAGTATAGTTGTACAGCAGAGTTCCATTGTGACATTTTCATACATGCTTACAATGTACCTTGGTTTGATTCAACCCCTCCATCATTTTCTCTCATTCCCCTTCTTTCAAAAACAATTTCAACAGGTTTTACTATTTTATTTTGATAAATATATACATTTTATAGTTCAATGGAACACATAATCCTGCATACAATGATAAATTCTATTGGGTCAAATAAGGAAATTTGATTTTATTTGACATTTTAAGACTACGGAGAAACTGTATTCAAACTTGTTGTTGTGCTTTTATAATGTGCCATGCTACTAAAGAATACAAAAGACCTGAGGTAAGTTTAAACAACCATGGTGGCCCACACCTATAATACCAATTACCTAGGAGGTAAAGATGGGTAGAACAGTGGTTCAAGGCCAGCATGGGCAAAAACATATGTAAGATCCTATCTCAAGCAATAAGGCGGGCATAGAGGCACACATCTGTGGTCTTAGCTATGTGGGAGGTAATGAAAGGACACAGTCTGAGGGCAGCCTGGGAAAAATACAAGATACTACCTGAAATATCCCCAAAGCAAAAGAAGCAGTAGGAACATAACTCAAGTGGTAAACAGCCTACCTACCCTGACTTGAAAGACCAAAACCAAAACAAAACACCAGGAACAATTAAGAGGTAGGTCTGTTCACCAGCCAGCTCAGCCTACTACCACAAACAGCTGAAGCTGTCTGTACTCACCCACTTGAATTTCCTCATCAGCTTCAACATGCCAACAGAGGTTCAGAGGCTGACAACAGTCCTAACTTAATAGGCAAGTAAGGTTCCAGGTACTGTTTATGCATATAATAGCAATATTAGAAAAACAGGAAGGGGAGTCCCTATCCAAAATCCAGAATGGGGGTGGGTTGGGAATCTAGAGGGTTTTTGAATTTTCTGAGAGGCAAAAGGATGATTTTTAGGAGTGGGCATGACACTGATACTATGATTCAGTGTCCAACACAAAAAAGTCAAAGAAAAAATGATTAGGTGAAGCATAATGTCAAAATAGAGGCTGTAGAAAGCCAACATGCAGAGGTTAAAACTGTTAGCAGGAGGAGGGTAGAGCCCAACTGGAAATTCTTCCCAGCCTGCGAAATACTGCATCTTGCCTATATCAATGTCAACATGGTTGTGATTTCACACTGAAAACTGGGTCAAGAGTGCACAGAAATTCTCGTACCACTTCTTACAATTGCATATGAGTCTGGCTTTATCTAAAATAAAGACCTTAGTTATATATATATACATATAAAATTAACCTTCAACACGTGGCCAAAGTCCTATGCTTAAGATGATCACAATGAGGACCAGATCTCACAAAAGGCTTACTTCTCACTCATTAAAGAAATATGGTTAAAACCCCTATTTATTTCTGACCTAAAGCAAAATTTAAATGCATAGCATGGTGTTTTCAGAAATCATCCTCAATATACAAGGAATACAGTAGTAATAGATACTGCCACATACACTGGGAATTTTGAAGCTGTTTCTCTCTTCACTGAGGAGCACTGGGATTTCCCCAGGTTCCAGGCCACTTCCATGGCCCTCAACATCACTCTCTTCTCCCTCTGTAAACACATCATTACTCTCTGCCACTGAAGAATATGACTCAGGAGATTTTGGCCATGGGTACTCAGGTGGGTCTGATTCTTCCATTTTCACCTGACCACTAGATGATATGGAATCACTGGGCTTCTTAGACATAGATGGTGTAGTTATGGCACAGGCTTTCTCATCTTCAGTTTTTGTTTCTTCCATCACAGATGCACTTAAGCAGCTATTTCCTGTGAAGTAAAAGACTATTAATAAATCTTCGATTGCACTATAACTAAGTAGGATTGTTCATCTATTCCAACTGATTATATGTCTTCTAACTTTCCCTCTCAACATCCATAGACATAGGGGTAAAGTGTCACCAAAGCATCATGATGCCTTCAGAGTCACTGAGGTGAGAGCCTGAACTTTGTTTAAAAAAAAAAAAATTCCACTGACAAAACAAGAGATTAGAATGAGGTTCTACTACATACCAACATCAAAAAGCAGGACAATCATAATAGTTATCAAAACAAATGTTGATTTGAAATCTATCTAAAAATAAAAATGATATACAAATATGTGATGCTAAGAGCTACTAAATTAAGCATTCCAGTTCTGAGAGCGTATGTAAATGGCAAATATAAGCCCATAGACATCCAATAAAAATCATTTCCTACACTAATCCTATACCATACACCAAGAGCATGGAGAAGACCATGGCTGGGTATGACCTTCACATGGCCATTATATAATGTTATGTAATCATTGGCTTCCTTGTTCATAGGTAGTGAAGAATATGAACCAGCAATCCCCCTCCCCTGACATAGCAACTCACCTGTCTCCTTTATACACACACATAAATACACATACATACAAATACACAGAAAAAAAAGGATCATTTCTACCGATCACATACTAACTATAATACTAAAACCAGCCAAGTCTTCTACTTAAGTGTTCTTCCAGGACTAAAAAACTAGAGATTAAAATGCAAACAACCAGAGAATTAATGAAATTGGGCACACTTTGCCTAATTCCTCTAGCAATTCATAAAGTGATTATAACTAAACCAAGATAATAAAAAACCATGAGTGACTAAAAAGAAATGTTGACGTGTACTGCATTGTCTTCTTTGCAGTTCTTCCCTACCCTCTCAATCTTTGTCCATTTATTACAATTCAATTCAGATATCACCAACATTGAACACCTGTTCTATTTCTGCCCATAGATGACTTTCCTTGGTAGCCTAGAAATACCTCATGACATCTCTGTCATGCAACTTAACACAAAGGATAACTGAATGTTTATTTGTCTAGCTCTTCCTGAAGTATCAACACATTGGCAAAAGACAAAAAGTCTGTGATATAGTATCTAATCACACAGAGTTTTCAAAAGGAAAGGTAATGAGGCTGGAGAAGCAGTCCTTACTTAGGACTATGTAAGGTCATTCTTTTATTCTAAGTAGAATAATGTAAGAAGGGCAAGATCTCAGATACCTTGTTAAAGGAAGACTGTGACTACCACAGGGAGAGCTATAGCAGGAGTGACTAGAATGGACCCAGTGCAGTATGTATGGTGCTTTTTTTGAGAAGAAAGCAGGACAGTGTTGGATCCAGAGAAGTCCCAAGATTGAAGTATTTATGGGATGACAGTACAGGAGGAATACAGGAATTACCAACTACCTCAATTATTAATAGGGCAAAAACTCCCATGGAAATTAAAGAGCCAAAGCATATTGCAGTTTTAGACAAATATGCAACAAATATGTCAGGGAAGGGGTAAAGTGAGTAAGACTTTCGGAAGAGGGTTTTATTATAAACATGTAACTAAAGGATAATACATACCACTTCACTAGGCAGGCCTTTTAAAAAATTTTGTTGTTCTTTTTAAAATCTTAATCTATATTTTTTTCTTGAAATTATGTCCATAGCTAAAAATCTACAAAGCATTGTCTATAATTGGTTTTCTCTGTCTATGATTTCAAGAACTTTGCAAAACTGTGTTATATATTATAAATTGACTTGCTCAAAAAGAGTTTTCTCTTTAGAAATCTTTTTTATTAAACCAAACAGACACTGCTGGCTGTTTGTCTTGCAATTCCATTATAAGTAGCAGCAGTACCCTCTGATTTCTAAAACATTCTCTTAGCCTCCTGGTTGAGTTAATCTGTAACTGTAGATAATTTATTGGATAAGCTAGGTGGTCCAGTAAGATCTATCCTAGTGAACATAGATTTAAAGCATCAGATCATCAACCACCTAATACAAGCAAAACGTAATTAGTTACTTTCTCACCTGAGAGTTTGGTATTATCTGATAAATTCTGATCCTTCTGCATCCTGCTGACAGAGGTCTCTTGTTTTGAAACTGTGTCTGTGATCCCCAGCTTTGATCCTTCTTCTGTATTTCCACCAAGCTTGCAGTTTTCTGGGCCTAGGTCACAGCTGGGGACCTCCTCCCCATTGACTTCAGGTGACACTTCCTCATCCTCCTCAGCTTTGGGCCTTTTAGAATGAGACCTAGTGCACTGGGCGCTATGAAAAAGAGGAGTGATGTTCAGAAAAAAAAAGGTTGTAATGGATATTAAAAAACCTACATATTGATATTATTGTCATTTGCTTACAAAAAGAGAAAGCTAAAACTTTTAACCTTATGCAAAGATAATCTTCACAATAGATGGAATCTGAAATTGAAATATTAAAACTTTAATACCCACTGACTAAAAATTAAAATCTGACCAATTATAAACTTGATTAATTAACATTGTAGAAAAAATAAAAGATCACTGTTGAATTTTTTTTGGACACAGAGTCTATGGAGCCCAGTCTGAACTGGAAATCATGCCTTGCCTCAGCCTCTAGAGTGCTATGGCATCATAGGAATGCACCACCCCCCTAGCTAATATGTACAATTTTATGTTTTTATGTATGAGCTAAAACTTTAAATTGTAAAAAAATTTTGAAAAATAGAAGTCTAAATATAAATAAAATAAAAATAATGACACAGTGAAAAGGGAAAATACTAATGATTTAGATAAAGAAGAAAGGAAGAAAAAATTAGGAGGCCCTCTAAAGCTGATATTAGGATCTGATAAATTATTTATGCTTCAAGGTTAACTACTGACTTTCTTTCCCTGAGCCTTATATAATTCTCAGGTATGCATGAAAATCACCCAGATTAAATTCCAAATCATTGATAGCTCAAGGATGGAAAAAGGCTAACTACATGTATTTAATGTCTTATATCAACAGACTAAGAGTGGGCACTTTTTATTTACTTCCTCTGTTGTTATTTTCCAGTAAGTCTGACAACTTTTGTAACAATTACGAACAATTATAAATCAACTCAAAGCAACAGTGCCTCCACTCCCCTACAAACACACATTATTTGCACATGAGACAATACCACAGACTAAGCAGTGCAAGATATCAAGAAAGGCAGAGAGGCAAGAAAGAAAATAGCCAGGGACAGCCCACAAAAATTAGCTGTGGTTGCTGCTAATGGAATAATAGTATTGGTATCATTATTACCATGATCATCCCTTTTGGTGAGGATGCGAGCAGCAGCCCATTTTATGAGCAGTGTTGTACATGTAAATACAGGATGGTTGACATTTCTTGGAGTTTTCAAGGAATCGTTACATTTATTGGGCTTCCATAAAAATGGTATTACTGAAGACAGATGTGCAATCTCTAAGTCACAGGCTGTGCATATCAAACAAGCTTCTTATTAAGCTTTCTAACAAACTGAACAAGGTTCATTTATTATTTTAACCTACTGACAAAATTTTCAAATGTGTTCAATACCACATATCTATGTTATCCATACTCAAAAGACCTACTTAGTTTAACAAGTAGACCAATTCATAGACTTAACTGGAGTATTGTCTTTTCTGCTCATTAAAGTCAGTCCTCAAGATGTACTACTAGTGTATATTCTGAGCTCAAGATTGAATACTGCCTACTTCCAAAGCTGCTGGTGTTTTGGTAATGTAGAGTAACACATTTTTCAAAGGCACTGCCACTCTCAATTATTATTTCTCAAACATTGTTACCCATAGTAAGTCATATACTGTAGGTAGTGACACAACATACACCTATATACATTCACACATATTATGAGGTAATAATTACCCTTACCACATGTGAAGCACTATGTTACTTTTTATTATGTTTTACCTCCTAATTTTAAGATGTTGGTCTTGACCTATTAAATCGATTTAAGAACTAATATTTTGAAAATCTTTCCTGCAAATGATAGGGTAAAATATCAACACCTGAGTTTTAGATTAGCTACTAAATAGTTCTGTGCCCGACTCCATGTTCTTAAGGTTCCTCTGGCTCACAACCATTCTAAAACAGTAAAAAATAAATGCCAAGGGGAAAAAAGAGTCAGAAAATAAGCATTAGAAATGTGGGCAAACAATTAAAATTACAATGTTATTATAGCAAAAAAGTAGAAACAAGCTACAGGTCGAAATACAAGGGATTAGTTAAATACATGCAGGCACTAAAAATTTTTGCTATAGAAAATAATTTAATTACATGAAAAAACACATAACTAGTCATCATATTGTTAAAGAGCATGGCCCCAATTTTGAAAAGGCATATATTAATATATAATAAATACATATGTAAAGGATATATACAAAATGTTAAAATTAGTTATCTCTGGATAGTAAGGATATGGGTGAATTGGGATTACTTCATTATTCTTTTCCTTTATTTTACAAATTTTCTCCAATGCTCACATATTACTTTTACAATCTGAAAGAAAAACAATGAGCAATACTGTAGAGGAAAACATAAAACTGAAAAAATAAAGAGCTAAAAGGTAGCCTAAGGATCTGAGCAACACAACACATACTCTATTCAGTTGGTTTTTAAATAGAAAGCTACCCACAGAAGTCATAAAGTTTTGACATGGCTCTGGCCACAAAAACGGAATGGACAACCATGGTACAGTTCTACTTTACTTCTTATAAAAGAAAAAATCACTGTGCAATATATAGCAAATGATAAGAATTCAGATGAGAAAAGTAATTATCTCAGATGTTCAACAAATGAACTACTAAAGTCAGAAAGAAAATCAATAGCAAAATGAACAGTTATTGAAGTAGTTAAAATATGGAGATGAATGTAAAGAGCCAATATAACTTTAAAATACATTAGTGTAAAGAGTCGAAAAGGTTCTAACTTGTTCTATTTGCCAGATATACTGAGTTCAGGAATATTCTCAAATGCAATATACATCTCTTTCTACGATCTGTTTACTACATATCCCAAGAATTAAAAAATACTTTATCTCAAAATGTCAGTAAGATACTAAGCAAATTTATGATACAGAAAAAGAAATAAAAAAAACTTATAGAAATAGCCTTCAAATATACATTTTAATTGATTAAATACTTCAAGCAGGATAGATGGTGTCATTACCTCTTGGGTGTTTTTCTTAATTTCCTTCTCCTCTGCAGCCATGCTTTTACTTCAGGGGTAGATTCTGGAGTAGGCTTTGTGTGGTCTATGGTGTATATATCCTTTCCTTGTTTCCAAAGCTGGTATCTGTCTGGCTGAAATTTTCTCACAAAGATGTCCATTGAGATTTTTACCATGTCTTTCCTGCAAGTGCACTGAAACACAAAGGAACAATTTCAATATAATTTGCGATGAAACATTTTGGTAACTATAAAAGTCAAACGGAGTTAACAAACCAAACTTCTTCAGAATAGAGATGAGAACTTATATATCCTCATTTATAAATGTGAAAATACTTGGGCAGGGAGTATGGCTCAAGAGGTAGAGTATTGCCTGGCATGGTCAAGGCCCTGAGTTCAATCCCCAGTAGGAAGAGAAGACAGGAGGGGCAGAGAAGAGAGAAGAGGAGAGGAGAGGAAGACTGTGCACTTATTAGTAATAGAAGGATTACCCTCCTATGCTCCTATGACAAGGATGCATTAAAATGTGAATTGTTGATAGAGTGTGAAGGGTAAGTATGAAAACCAGATCCTATGGCTTAGATGTGGTCTGAATATTCCAAAGATCCATTGTGATAAAAGGCTTAGTCCTCAGGGTGGTACTTTTGGGAGGGGTGGAACTTTGGGATGTGGGGCTTTGTGGGAGGATCTAATGCCATTTAAGACAAGAGATGTTTTTTGTAGTACTTTTTTGGTAGTTCATGTATGACTTCAGTAATTCCCTTGGGAAGAGTCTGGTTATAAAAAGAGCAAGACTTTCCCCAGCCACCTTCTTTCTCTCTGCTCCTGTTGCAGATATGAACCTTTGCTTCTACAAGAACGCCTGACATGATGTGCCACCATCCACCACCTTCACTAGGGGAAAAACAAATGTGCCATCACATTTAGGATGCTGAGCCTCCAAAACTGAGAGTTAAATAAACCTTTTCTCTCAATAAGTTAGCTTTCATTTTAGAACAGCAAAACTGACTAATACATCAGAATTGTCAATGAATAAAAGAACCCAAAGAACATTATCATTAAAAGAATTCAAGTAATAACTTGAGATAAATTTTCTGTAAGATATATTTCAATTACATTTGTTTTTATTAACAAATACATTTACAAGGCAACCAATAATTAGGAACACATAAATAGCTTCCACATTACATCAAATACAATATTTAACACCACAAACAGCTACACAACAAACACATCTCATGGAAGAGGGCAGAGGATTAGGTGAAAAGTTCAAAGGAAACGTTATTTTATGTCCACTATGACCATGACTCCCACGAATATATGGTCATCATTTACATCCAATAAAAGAAGTTTCCTGAAAACATATGGGTTTAATTGAATATAGGCCAAAACTCTATGCATTACAGAAGATATTATTCAAATAAATAGTCTCAAAGATTTATGTGATATACCTTAACAGTCCTTTACCTGGTGACAGACTAGTTGGCCAAACATAAGCCTTTCTTTACACGATAAGATTGCCAATATCTTAGTGACACAATTATCATGTCCATATTAATTAATTTCAAGTCCTAATATCCTCTACTCTCAATTTCCCTTCATAGAGTTCTCATCTAAATGCAAGAACTTCTTCTAAATTGATTAGGCATAGGAAGGGTACACCCACACACCTCAACAGAAGCTACCCGAGAAAGGCCTGTGCAAAGCTCTGTCTGATGACTTGATGCCCATAAAAACGTACAGAGAAAACCAACATAGATTTGGAGAATTGTGTACCAGAAAATGTAAGTGAAACTTCTTTCTTTTTTTTTGGCAATTTTGTAACTTTATTTGACACTCAATATTTAGTTCTCATCCACACTGCCTGTGGATTTCTTTCTAATGTGGTAACAGAGACATACATCACCAAAGTATAGAGCTTGTCTGGTGAATCTCCATCGAGACTAACTTCTTTAACTGCAAAGAGAAAGCCCATCACAATCAATGATACCAAAATTCTTCCATTCCCCTATATCCACAGTCAATATTTGGTAGCCCTCCCTACGCCTCCAACCCAAGAAATTCAGCATGCTGTAATTAAAATTGATTCTTACTATAAAATTTCTCCTGCAATTACTTCTGCATCCTTCTAAATTCACAGCCAGACCCTGAATCCTATCAAACCAAAGCTAACTAATTTCCATCTCTCACACTATCACTCTTTACAGCAATTACTTTAATCTCTCTAAAATATCTTGTAATCTTACAATTTTCATTTCAATAAGGTACACTCATCCTGCTCTTCCTTTAAAACAATGTCTAAGCTCTAAGTTGTAAATGTGGCATTCGAGAGCTCCAAGATTTTACTCCCTCAGGGAGATAGTCAGGTTTCTCTCCCACTGCAAGTTAACATGAATATTCCTTTTCAACTCATGTTTCTGGAACCCAAAGATTGAGAGATGCCAAGATGGCAACTAGAGGGAGGAAGCAGAAAGCGTGTTTCCTAAAGTAAAATCTTGGAGAGACACTGGAGATACACCTTGCAGGAAAAACCACCAAGAAGAGGCAAAACTCCAACACCTCCACACCCTCAGTCCATGCATAGCATCCCCCCGGCCACGTTAAATGGAGAAACCAGGAGGCCTCCTACGCCACCAGATGCCAGTTCCTAACCTGCTTGGGAAGACCCAGACCACGAGATGAGCTAAGCAGCACACAGTACTTCCACAGACAACCCTGGGCCAGATCAGCATAGCCCCCTGGACAGACTGACCCTCACCCAGAGGGAAGAAAAAAGAGAAAAAAACAAACTGGATAATAAACAAGCAGCTGAAAAAAAAAAAAAAAGACAAGTAGCAAAGAGGACAGAGCGCCCTGAGCCCCAGAGTGTGGGGGAGGGGAAATCCCTCTTGGAACTGTAAATTAACAAGCCGGCCAGAGAAGGCAGCGGCAGCGGCACCGCCCAGCAACCTTGGAGAGGGGAACGCTTATAACAGCGGCTGTCGTGTGGAAAGCTCCACCAAAGTGGGTGGGGCAGGGGCACTTCTCCTCCCAAATTGTAATTAAAAAAGACAGCAATTGTAAAAGGCGGGTACGGCTGTATACTGGAGAAAACAAAAGGGACATGCGTCCAGGAGAACTCTAAATAAACAAAGCCTGCAGCAGCACATGGCTGACAGTAGGAGGCAGGTGAGCCACAGCCTCAGATAGACATTCACAAAGCTGTCTCCAGACTCCCTTTCTTTCTTTTTTTTTTTTCTCTCTTCCTTTGATGAGACAACACCACCAGATGCTGAAGGACTAACTGAAACTGTACTGCAATTTGAACTTGGGATATTTTTTTGTTTGTTTTTATTTTTGTTTTTTGGGTTTTTGGCGGGTTTTACCCCTTTGATGAGAAAATGACAGAATTACTTCACAGACACTGAGAAGTCTTTAGGACTGGAGGCTGAAGGACTAACACCAAAATTATTAAGACTGAAACTTTATTGCATTTGAGCTTGTGGGTTTTTTGTCTTTTTCTAATTTTTTTTATCATTTTCATTATCCTCTCTCTGTCTCTCTAATGCCTGTTTAGTGTACTGTTGATTAATACACTATCTCTCCCTGCTTATTTCTTTGGCTCTGTTTTTTGTTTGTTTGGTAATTTTTGTTTGTTTGTTTTGGGGTTTTTTTTTTCCCTTTTTCTTTACCTTCTTTGCTTTCCCTCTCCTCTCACCCTTCCATTCTAGATATCACTATTATTATTATTACAAGCTAGACAAAACTGAATTACACACAGTACAGGGACAGTAACAATAGCAAAGGCAATGATGGGAAGATGGAAAAAAGAGGGAAACCAGTTTCCTCCCAATAATAAATTAGTACAGGAAATCAGATACTCAGATCCAGACTCCAACAAAACGATTAAACTATGCCAAAGAACCCAATGAAGCCCACAAGAACACTCTGAAAGAAAAAATCCTTCAAGTAATCAATGAGAAATTTATAGAGATGATATTGGATATGGTCAACCAAAATGTACAGGAGACACTCAAGAAATTCCAAGACAACAAAAATAGAGAATTTGAGGAAGCCAAGAACAAATAAAAGAAACCATAGAAGCACTGTATAAACACCAAAGTGAAACAAAGAACTCGATAAATAGAGATAAATGGAACCCAAAGACACCAAAGCATCCTTAATCACAGAATTTTGGTCCTACCACAGTGACTTTCTGCTCAGCAGTCAGCTAGCCAAAGAAAATTCATCTTTAACACTATATGCTAATGGTACTGATTATTCCTTGGAACAATCAGTTTTTTGTTTTTTGGGGGTTTTTTTTGTAGAAATGTGGATGATGAGGATCCTGAAAAACTTAAATATATTTTAGGTTAAGATGTGATCTTTCAACACATCAAAAATAAGCCAGGAACAGGTGGCTCATACCTACAATTCTAGCTACTCTGGAAGCAGAGATCAGGAGGACCACAATTGAAAGCCAGCCTGGGCAAATAGTTCACGAGACCCTATCCTGAAAATACTCAATACAAAAAAGGGCTGGCAAAGTGGCTCAAGTGGTAGAGTACCTGCGTAGGAAGCATGAGGCTCTGAGATCAAACCCCAGTACCACCAAAAAGAAACAAAGACAGAAGAAAAAGCTTGGACTCATGAGCAGAAACTTCATTTTCTTAAACTGTTACAAATTTTGCTTCATGAAGAAAAATAAACAGTGGACAACATTGATTCTCACTCCTTTAATGAGCTAAGTTAGGCCTAGCATGATTACGATTGCAAATTCTCCAGTGCATATAGGCCAGTAAGCTACATAATAATATTTCTGAGAAAACATGTATTAGGAAAAAAATCCTTTATCCTAATGCTCATCTTATTCGCCCAGATGGTGCTGGATTCACCAGGAGGATCGTGGTCCAAACCCAGTCAGAACAAATAGTTCTCGAGACCCTATCTAGAAAAATCCCATCACAAAATAGGGTTGGTGGAGTGGCTCAAGGTGTAGTGCCAAGGTCAAGCCCTAGTACTGCAAAAAAAAAAGAAAAAGAATATTTGGAAACTGAAGAAAACATAAATAAAATGATAAAAACCATTTATTTCTTAAAAACAGTAACTGCCAACATTTTGATGTTCCATTTCAGTTTTTCTATGGTTATGAATATCAATGTGGTATAATTCTAAGATATCATCTATTATAAAAAAAGAAAGAAATTAGACAGAGT